TTTCATTGATGATATTCATAATCTGCAGGGAGATAAAAAGGCAAACTGAAGAGGCACAGAAAATAAATAAACCTGTCGCTTAGAAAGCAATTTATTACAAGCGTTGAATAAAAGATGAAGAGGCAAATTAAAAATTTGAATAGCCAAGCTCTTCAAGATATCTTGCTCACTCAGATGTAATACAAGCATGATGCATGCTCCTCACTTTTGTAGAATTCTACTCTCCCTGCAATCCTATGATCCAAATGGAGAAAAGGGGAAGAGTAAGAAATATGTAGAAGAAAAAAAAAGGCATCTGCTCTAGAAAATAAAATCCAGATTGCACACCCAGTTGCAAAAACCAGACATTGGTCTAGGTCAGGGGTAGGGAAACTTGGCTCTTTTATCACTTATGGACTTCAACTCCCAGAATTCCTGAGTGAGCCATAAAAGGTTCCCCATCCCTGGCCTACTGGTTTTTCAGTTGTGGGGGGAATCAATTTTTGACTTTAATGGGACTGTTTAATATACAGATGTAGGACATATGTAGCAGATTGGACACATAAGGAATTTGTCTTGGTGCAAATGCTCTTTGTGTACATAAAAGATACATTCATCAAGAGTCAAGAATCATCAGGTATAACACTTAATAATACTCACAGGGTACAATAAGCAATCAAATCATACTAGGAAACATTCCATATAAATCATAAGGATACAAGCGACAAAGTTACAGTCATACAGTCACAAGTGGGAGGGGATGGGTGATAAGGAGTGATGAGATTAATAGTAACAGTAGTGCAAACTTTGTAAATAGTTGGACAGTGTGGAGGGAATTATTTGTTTAGCAGAATGATGGTGTTTGGGAAAAAACTGTTCTTGTGTCTAGCTGTATGCTCATTAAGAGGGAATGGCTAAGGAAATAATTCCACTATTTCAGGCAATGTGTAATAATTAGAGATCAATACAAATTTTGAGTGCAGCAGCGGTAGCTGCTTACCTGCTCTGGATCCTTCTTTAGTTCTGGATAAGCATCTCCCTGCAAAAAAAAAAAAACATCAACTCATTACAAGTCATTACTAGTGCCACTCCCACTTTTCCCCATCCTTAATTTATATTATATGGAATTCTTTGCTTCTGAAATTAGGAATTTTTTTTGTTTTGTTAGTCTCACGCCAGGAATGATATACTATAGCAGATTATCTTCCCCCCACCCCCAATTCTATACAAAAATAAAATCTCTGAATAGGATTAACACGAGTGACAAACAGCATTAGATGTGTTGACTTAATACAAATATCACAAAAGATCTTTCAGGCCCTTCATACTATTGGACAGAAACATTTCCATAAGCGCTGACTTTCAGTCAAGAAACATAGAATTCTGCAAACGTAGCTCTTTCCCGATCCAAGCCCTTTCATAATTCTGTTACTTCTGTACATTTTCTAGTTAGCAGAAGTGATGGGATATATGTCATTGGAATAGTACAACTGCTGCATTACGTACTATTTCTTCTAATAGTAAGACCACGTGTAGGACAATTAGGTAGTTTTAACACCTGCATTAAAAAACCCTGCTCTTTGACTTTGTTATATCTCCCACACTTCTAGCGACTAAGGGATTCCTTAACTGATATCACAAGGTAAATTATCTGATAAGGCAACAAATACAGCGTTGGAAAATAAAGCTAGCTCTGAGAAGTGTCTTGCCTAAGAAATCAATTCTAACTTACCAGAATTTCTCCTACAACAGGAACCAAACTCGCCAAGAACCCAGGTGGAGCATGGAGAACCTCCGAAGAAAATCGTACAGCCCTGCGTAAGATCTGACGCAGAACAAGCCTGCAGGGAAGAAATGTTTCAAAAAGAAATTAGCATTCTGAGTGAGTAGGGAATTTTACTTTTTCAGAAAACAGTCTTGAACACTTGCTAAAATTCCCACCAAGATTCTCTTAGTGTTTCTCTTGTTAGTTTTACAACTATATCCTTGGTATACTCCATGTATTGTATACTTTATGCATGCATTTCATGTCTGCTGCAGTCACTCTATCCTCCACTAATCTTTTGGAATTATTCAAAATTGTAGTTTCCATTTGTCTCACTCTGCTTCCTCTCTCTGTGTAACTTTCTCTCTCACAACATCAACACAACATCAATATTCTCTAATCACTCACTCCCTCTGATGACCCAGAGTGTACCACAAACGTAACAAAATCCAAAATGTAAATGTCCTTTAATGCCTCCAACTTGGCCCCACTGTTCAATAATACTCAGTTGGAGATAAAACGTACTCAAAAATAGTCTTCAAAAGAAAGCAATACAGTCTGAATTTAACGAGCAGATAGAGGTGAAATAAAAAAACAAACAAACTACAATGACAAAATTTCCACAAAGGAACAGAAGTATTTACCAAATTCAAGGAGATAACAAGGCACAGTCTGTTGGAAGGATGCCAACCAAGATAACTTCAGACCAAAATAAAACACGCTTTGTTTCCAGCGTTTGCCAGTACGCAGGTCCAAACTCTTATGCAGTTCTCACACCTGCAGCCCATGAAGAGGATCAAGGCCCTCTCCTCCTGAGTAGACCACGTCTCTCCCTTCTCCTCTCTCCACCCTGCGTGCCCTAGGATGGATAGGGGATGGGCCTGGGTCCCATCTGACTGCTCAGCCGGCCTCTGCTCTTCCCCAGCCTCCTCCACAACCTCTGGAGGGACACTTCCACTCCCAGTCGGCTGTTCCTCTTCTCCCTTAGAGTCAGTCTCCACCAGGGGTATGACACTCCCAACCTTTCTCCCCCTCATTATTGGACTTTTTCCTTACTCGGCACCATCCATGCCTGGGAAAATCCCATCCGCTATGCACACAGACAAGGCACGCACATGATCTGCCACCACTCTGTATGCCATGTTCACTCCACCCAGGTCAGTCTCGCCAACCAAGCCTTGGTAACCAGGTCCACCGCAGCCCTGAAAGATAATAGAAGACACTGAAAAAAGGCACACAAGACTATTGCATGTTCTATTACTCCAAGTTGCACCGCTTTTCGTTCTTTCTTCTCTTTCTTTACCTTTTTCTCCTTAAATGTTTAAATGGAATGTTCTTTAAATGTTTATGGGATTTTTTTTAAAGAAAGGGAAGACCAAAAATATTTCACTAAACTAAAATGGGCCCATTCCCCCATCTCCACACAACACCCAAAACATATTTGTGAAGTCTAATGCATTTGTAAGTTCATTCAACTGCTTCTGTGTCTTTTAACATTCTACCATCTATCTTCTGAAAAGATCCAAATAAAAGATTTTCCTGTTTTAATAGTTTACAGAGGGGGTGTTATGTTTGAACTTCTTTTAAATCAACTCTGAAACACTACACACCAATAATGGCTAAGTTTCCTGAGGTTTAATGTTGCAGTTTTATGCCTTACCAAATTCAGTGGCACTTACTTCTGTGTAGACATGTAAATTACTACTGCAGAAAAGTAGAACTGATAGCTAAGAGGGGAAACTGCACCTTTTCACTCAGAAAAGAAGCATTCTAATGCTATCAGAGTTGGTCTCTCAGTTTGAACAGTCAACAAAATACTTAAGTCATTCAAGTGGTTCTTTTAAGGCTACTGCCAGAAAAGAAGATGCAGCAACTTTGGATCTCTTGACAAATAAGCATTCTAGCATATCCACAATATTCAGACTGATGAACCTTGGTGAGCCTCAAGATTTTGTTGAAATCTAAATCTCATAAATACCATCCAGTGATCACAGACATTACAATATAAGATCAAGTGGACCAGAGATTCCCGTTCTTACTCCAAGAAGATAGTGCTGTACCACTGTGATTCTGTCACATTAGTCTTTCTCTGACTTGAGGCGTATGATGGCAATTGGGACCAGAATGGCCATTGCTAAACAATATCATTGTAAAGGACAATTGCATTGCTTTGTGATGGCAGTCCCAGTTGCTTTGTTTGTCCCAGGACTGTTAGGTGAGGAAGCTTCCTGCTGGCTTCTCACAATCAAAGTCAGTGGGTAAACTGGCAGGAAGTTTTAAGTCCAGGTTGATTGGCAGGTAATTGGTTGCTGTCAGGCGGGGTAGGCAACAAGAAAGTGTGTGAGACTGCAGAGGAGGGTTGAGGATGAGATGTTGAGGTGTTGGGACTGCATGGAAGGGTTGAGGATGAGATGTGAGGGGGTGCACAAGAGATGTAGTAGGAGTGTGCAAGAAGCACAGTGTGAGTCAGATGCGCAAGGAACACAATACGGCTCAGGAAGTGTGTACAGGCAGCATGGCACAGGTCAGGGAGGGTGCACAAGGGTGTGTGAGAGACATAGTGCAGATCAGGAAGAGTGCACGAGGGTGTGCTGTAGTTCTGGGCAGGTGCATTAGGTTGTGTAAGAGGCATAGAACAGGTCTGGACAGGAGCACAACGGTGTTTGAGAGGCATGATCTGGGTTGGGAAAAGACTGTGGAGTGGAGTAGCAAGATCCATGAAGATGTTCTTTAGATACATTTCAAATCAATGTAAGTCAATGCAATCATAGTCCTTAACTGGAGACTACTAGGTAGACTGTATATACAAAACTTCAAAGTCTCGGTAGAACCACACCAGGCTCATCATCACCTTATGGATGGCATCCAGGATTGGGGTGAAGAGGTCAGTGTCATAATTGGAGCGTTTGTTCTGAAGAACTGTCATCAACCTTTCTAAGCCCATTCCGGTGTCCACATGATGCTGAGGCAGATGGCGTAAACTCCCGTTGGCCTCTCTAGAAATGTATCCGTTAACCAACCAAGGAAAAATGGTAAACATTCATTAGAGGCCAAGACTTGTTTTGCTGAAGGAAAAGGAATGGCAATGCTACAAACGATTAAACTGAAATTGGAGAAAGGCACCAGAAAAACTGATGAGGACAGACTAGATGACCAAGATTAATGGGTTCTTATCGATCATAGATTAGGACAACCTTTTACTATCACTCTATAGAAATAATCTGTTAGGTAAGCAAAGGCAAAACCAGTAGCATGAGTAAATGAGTAAGGACATAATTTCTTATATGTAGTTTTTCCAATGCTTTATGCTACCCTTTTCTCTCTTAATTTCTTTTTTCTTTTGGTTTCTGACACCCTCTTCTCTCTCGTCCAAGAAACAGGCTGCAGGAAAGGGACAGATTACTCTTGCTAGAGATCTGGGTTGATCTACCATTGAAGGCTTTTGAAATCAGGACACAAGCTGTGATGGGGGCTTTGGGCTGAAGGTTGCAAGCTCTGACAGCATCAAAATATTAATGCAGAAAGTACACTCCTCAGGGGCAGTACACAGAGTGGTAGGGTAAAACAAAGAAAAAGGCGTTTTAAATTATTTTGTAGATGATGGGGAGATAATGGGCAAAGTGGGTACTTGAAGACTGCAAAGATCTTGCCAATCCACATGAAATTAGTGCAGCCCTCCAGCTGATAAATGACAATATAATTGGGATAACAGGGAGAAGAGGAAATATATATTTAATATAAATAATTGGACTGATAAAACAATACAGATTAGTGTAAAACTTATGACTATTTATTTGTTTAAAAATTGTATAGCTGCCCAACTTAACAAACTGCATATTCTATGGCAGGGATCTTCAAACTTGACAGCTTTAAGACTTGTGGACTTGAACTCCCAGAATTCCTGAGCTAACATGACTGGAGAAGGAATTCTAGGAGTTCAAGTCCACAAGTCTTAAACTTGCCAAGTTTGAAGAGCCTTGTTCTATGGTATGCAAAATTGTGTTAGGAAGTCAAGTTATGGCATTTATATAAAACTCTAGCAGTAACATCATAACACACCTATTGTACTGTATGAAAACGAGGTTCCAGATCTCCACTACATCAGGACTGCCCTGATTCACGAGTGCTGCTGCATTTCTTCCACCACCTATATGATCATAATGGATTTCTGTGCAGGGTCCACAAGGACCAGTGTCACCCATCTCCCAGAAGTTATCTTTCAGGTGAAAAGGAAGAACGTGGCTAGGGGGTACACTGAAAAACAAACGAAGAACAATAATAAGAAAGGAACAAACAAGCAGAGCAGTTGGTGAGTGGAAAGAGTAAACCCATATTTTCCTTCTTTTCTCCCAGTGCCTGGATCTATGAACTTCATGGGCTGGAACTCAGAATGGGAAATCGGTTTCCAGGCTGCCACTTTGCTGGGGTGGGTGAACTCTAACTGGTAACTTAGACATGGTTCATTCATTCTGCTAAATCACACATCATCTCTACAAATCAGAGGCTGGTTTCTCAACACATGCTAAGTCAAATAAACTATTGTATGGCACAATATGATACATACAACCCATTCCTCCTCCACTTTACAATGATGGCCTGTACTGATGAATGCTACCGAACAAGATGAATAATATTATGGTATTCAGTTCATGCTTGCTGCATGCAGTGGTTTTGGTCTTCTTGGCATGTCTAAGGATCAGGATTATGCAATCCTTGAGCAAATTGGGGTAAAAATCAGATAAAACCATGTGAGACATAAAACAAGGCTATAAACTATTTCAGGCAATGCATTGACCAGTGCCTCTTTCCTAGCCCATTGTCCAGCTACCATTTATTTGCTGCCATTTATTTCCATACTGAAGTAGGTTTACAAATATGCCTCCAAGTCTTTTCACTCTATTATTCCAAAGAATTCCTGAGAATTAATTATTCAAAAATGAATACTTTAAGAGTCCTTCCAGATGGAACATTAAAGGAAGATTCACAGAGTAGGTTAAAACGTTGAAATATTGGGTGTCTGCTTTCAATCTTCTACCTATGGAACTAACAAAATATGAGAACTGAATACAAATTTCATAGTACATTTTTTCAATAATTATATGTGTACTCTGAAATGCTCATTACGTTGTCCCAGCAGTGATAAAATCTTTTAAGGCCAAAGTTTTGAGCCAGTTATTATATGATACCCCATTGCATTTACACAAATATATATTTAACCTATGCTAAGAAAACAAAATTGTTGAAATCCTTATTCCTCATGAAGATATATCATAATTTCCCAATATTTGTATAGTGTGCATGCCTCACATAAAAGACTCTTCACAATGATGCAAATTGATATTATCCATTAAGTTGATGATGAGTATATATTCCTCCACCACCCGACCCCCATATGAATGCCATACATGCTTATGTTTGAACTCGGAAACTGATTCTTATTTGTGTTACTTCACTGTCAATTGCATACTCACTGCTGTATACAATTAATAGCATTCATCAGGTCACTCTTTAGCTGCTTGCACTATTAATGATCCACCTGTTAATACTTCTAAAACATTGGCAAAATATCTATCACAGAAACAGCTTTTAAAAGTCATCTAATTCCCACTTAAATGTAAATTATTGTTTATTTTATTTATATGACTTATATCATTTGAACATATATATCAGAGTTGGTGAACCTTTTTGGCACTGAGTGCCAAAATGGGAGTGTGTGCATGCACGGGGGAGCACCAGAAACCAGAATAGCAGCTCCCCAGCTGGTCTTCCCATTTCTGGCGCACATTGTCACATGAAGACCAGCTGGCTGGTGCACCTGCGCACGCCAGGACCCAGAAAAGCAAAGGGCGATGGCTACTGTGCTGAGAGAGCTGGATCTACGTGCCACTTCTGGCACGCATACCATAGGTTCGCCATCACGGGTATATATTGTTGTTTGCTTTTGGACCATGACAAAATACCTTCAAAGTTTCTAAAATTTATTTACTTTCATTTTTTTAATAAAAAATACTTACCCAAGCGTAAGCCATATATCCCTACACTCTTCATCAGCATTTAGACCAAGTGAGGCATCACCTCCAAAATAAGTGACATAAAGCTGATCCTTTGGAATTTCATAGACTTGTGTCAGGAGCTCCCATGCCATCTTACATGCTTCCTCCTAAAATCAAGAAGTATGGAAGCAATGAAAAATAATAGTTAAATGTTTGGGTAAGAAAACAATTGCAGATGCTCCAGAGGGAACAGACTATAAAGAGTGATATTAACTGCTTGTAGCACAAATCAAGGACAACCTGGCGAGCAAATAAAATGAAATACGGAATTAAAGTGATCTGGGAGAGCTTTTCCCAGTCTCTTGCAACTGGATAGATAACCTCGGATAGATTACTCTCTTCTCTAAGCTATTGTGCAGGATACTCTAAATTATTTGAAGATACAATATAGACAGATAAACAATTAGTATCATTAACAGCAGACTAGAATTCTATAAGGTCTTTTTGGCTGTTTATTTGTATACAGTTGTTTATATAATGTTTTCCCAGACCAGTGTCCTCTGGATGTGGTATAGTACAACCCTCAGCATATCTAATCAGCAAACCTATGGTATCTAAAAAAGATGGAAGTTACACTCCAACACATTGCAACCCACAGGTTGAAGACAACTGGTTTAAAGTATTCAGATCAGAAGTGGAAGCACAGAAGTCTCATCAAGTCAATATGAGTGCAAACAGCAAAAACTATTCACTTTGCAATTAGACAGTTTCCTTGACTTGACTTATTCTTCATGTTTGCGTAAAGTGTCATGTTTGCATAAAGTGCACAAATCAGAATAGCCTGATCAACTAAGTTCTTTCTCAAAAAATATTATTTCCACATGCAGAAAATCCTTTGCACTGAGAAGCCATAGCAACTACGATTGTTTTACTTTTCCAATTTATGGTGCAGTTTAGAAACAAATATGTCACAAAGAAAAAAAGGTAACTCTGGGTCATGTTTAGGTCACATTTAGTTACAAATTAAATTAACTACAAATGGACCATTTTTTAAAGCAAGTGTAACAATGCCTTACTTTGAAATAATCACCAAAGGACCAGTTCCCGAGCATTTCAAAGAAAGTATGGTGATAAACATCTCGACCCACATCCTCCAAATCATTGTGCTTTCCACCTGCCCGCACACACTTTTGGGTGTTCACAATTCGGCGGTAACGTTTAAGCTCACTTTGAGGATCTGCTGTGCCCAGGAAGATTGGTTTGAACTGGAAATTCAAAGACAATTAGAAAGGAAATTTCACAAATGAGATATTTGGCTCACATAAAGAGAAGGATTGCTATAGTGGGAAGGCACGTTCTCTTATCACTCAATAAACCAAACTTAGTACTAACCATGATTAAGGGAAACTAGCAAACATTTCTCAGTCAGTACAGCAAACCCAGCCAGCCACATTCTAACAGTTCTACTATTCCAGATACTTTTCCTTTTGTGGTATCTCTGATTTCCTGGAATCATGTTGTTACAATTTAAACAATGTTTGCAATGATCACATAAGAAACAGTCATCATGCATAGCATGTAAGAAGCTCACTCTTTTCCCAATCCCTTTCTTTCAAAATATTATTGTTATTCCAAACCGATTGATGCAGAAAATCAAATTGAAAGAGGCTGCTCTGTGTTTATTCTTCCACCCTACCACCCTACTTTTTTTAGAGCAGCAATGGCTCCTTATTTATAAATCCATCAATAGTTCAGATTTGGATATACACTGGGCCATTTGGTAAAGTTCTCAACTGTATTTCAGCCTATAGTATATGTTTGAATGACACTGCAAGCCAAAGTACAACATAACTTAGTATGTCATGCAAGTATGTATTGTCAGTCTCACATATGCACACAGTGTGCTCAGAATACCTGAGAACAGGGCATTATTTTAATTTAACACTGATCTAATAAAATGGTGACCTGAAGCAGCAACTCTCTGGATCCAGTCCATTAACTTAGCTACCCATTATGCTGGTTCCAGTGATGCTCTTGAAAAGCAAATTTATATTAAATAATGTTAGATAAATGTGAATCACAACATAATGCATAATGGCATATGAAGCTTACTTTATTTTTATCTAAAACATTTTAAATCCAGTTCTCAAGAGAAAAGGTGCTAGAGAAAAGAACATAAGACATTCTTTCTGAAATATCCCAACTGCAGTTCTCAGTTGCATTATGATGCTTCTTATTCCGACTGCATATTTTCCTTCTGCTGAACATTTTTTCTCCTTTTTACATTTCCAGAAAAAATATTCTAGAAGTCTAAAAAGTTGTAAAATGCAATGCAGCTTTATGAGCAAATACACATTTATTTTTTTTAGCAGCGAGAAAGATGTAAAACGATGGCACCGTAGCAGCAGCATTTACACCAGGAAAGAAAAGAAATTCCAAAAAAAAGGGAACGAGATAGCATCCGATCAGAGCCGTCAAGGGCAACGGCGGAACCCTTCTGCGAAGCCTGTTCATTCCGCGCCCTGTTTTGGGAACGTACCTGGTTCATTCCCGCGTTCACGAATAGCAGCCCGGGATCGTTTCGAGGCCTCACAGAAGCCGAGGGAACGACTTGATGTCCGTGCCGCTCCTGGAAGTACTGGAGGAACATCTGGCGCACGTGTGCGGAGGACAAGGAGGCGGCCGAGCGAGCTTGGAAAGAGCTGCAATGCCAGTTGCGGGGCATCCGGAGAAAGCGTCTCACGCAGCCCTGCACGCCCGCCGCCATCTTAGCTGTGGGCGGAATTGTGGGAATCGGAGAAGGGGGCGAAGCTTGCGAAGTGACACCGTCGGTCTGTGTATGAATGCATGAGAGCGCCAGCTCCGTGTCGAGTGGAGGACGTGGAATTGCTGTCCCAATTTCTGAAATTACAGTGATCTCTTGGTAAAGCAGGGTTTCTGCATTGCCGCCCTTGGGGCGGTGCAGACAGAGACCACATTCAACCTTTTAGTTACATTGTTGCAATGAATCCACCTCTCCCAAAGTTTCCTTTGCATTGTGTTCAGGTTGGTGTATATGGATTTTTAGGACAGGTACGTACGTTGAGGTTACACTGAGGGAAGGGCGATGGCAAGAAAGTTAAGAATCCCCGTTTTAAAGGGATTATATAAGCATATTCAATCAGATCCCTCCAATGCAAGGTTGTGGCTCATTTTGTTACCTGTCAATAGGTATGAGAAAATGGGCTTCTCTGGGGGAGTCCGGTTCTCAGGGCATGCACTGCCATAACCATGATGTGGCTCATGAGTTCAAACAAGATGACATTGTTTAATAAAATGGGATCAGCGCACGCCCTCTTCGTTAGATTTTAGCAGTGGGAGGAGGAGGGAGGTGGTCAGCAAAAACAGTGGAAGAGCAGCTGTTTGGGATCCTCAAATACACTCTGTGGGTGCTCCGTGGTAGTGATCAGCAAACATGCACAAATAAAAGCTTTCTGCAGTGTTGCATCAGTTCCCATCCTCGAAGTTTAGGAAAGTTATATGGAACCCCTCTCCTGTTCTGCTTTTTTTTTTAAAGTCCTTTGCTTTTGCTAAAAAGTTAAAGCACTCTTGATTCTTTGTCTTGGTTAGAATATACTCATTTTAGTCTTGAAATCCGATAGATAGAAACACTGTAGAAATGCAAAGAAACCACTAGGTTGCGCTGCTTCAAAGGTCTGTGTTGATTCTAAAGATAGAGGAACTGATTGAACAAAGCTTGTTCTGGAAGAATGTAAATACTGAACTGGAAATGCTAGTTTTTGAGTGTGTGCTTCAGCCCATTTTCATTCTGATTTTAAAGCGGTCTCAGATTTTTTTGAAGGTATATTAAAATGTAGTTTCTTCAAATTGAGCAGATTCAAAAGCCAGACAGCGCCCGCGGGACTTGAACTGCTAGGAGCTAGAGTTGAACACGAATTTAACAAATTGTGAAGGAACCGCTAGGCTAAGCTGGCTCGAGTGCTAATTCCTGTTTAAAAAATATAAGAGACAACTCACCAAGATTGTAAACGTAATAGAGTAAAGAAGTAGGGATTTGCAAATGATGTAAAAGGAGGACTGGAAATTTTATTTTTAAAGCATGTGTTCCAGTCCTTTTCCATTCTGATTTTTAAATTCTTTCTTGTTTTAGGAAGCATTTCAAAAATGTGTTAGAGTCAAAAAGCCAGACAGCGCCCACGGGACTTGAACTGCTAGGAACTAGAGTTGAACACGAATTAACAAATTGTGAAGGAACCGCTAGGCTAAGCTGGCTCAAGTCATGCTTTCTGTTCAGAAGATATATGAGATGACTCAACAAAGTTTATACAGAGATGATAGGTTAAAGAAGATTAATAAATGATTTAAAAGCTGGACCAGAAAATGTATTTTAGTGTATGCTCCAACCCTTTTCCATTCTGATTTTTATTCTTTTTAATTTTAGAAGGAATTTTCAAAAATGTGTTATAATCAAAAAGCCAGGCAGCGCCCACGGGACCTGAACTGTTAGGGAGTAGCAGCTGAATGACTACTGAATGAGTAGTTACTCAGATTGCGAAGAAACCGCTAGGCTAAGCTGGCTCAAGTGCTAGTTCCTGTTCAGAAAATATAAGAGACGACTCACCAAGATTGTAAACATAACAGAGTAAAGAAGTAGAGATTCGCAAATGATGTAAAAGGAGGACTGGAAATTTTATTTTCAAAGCATGTGTTCCAGTCCTTTTCCATTCTGATTTTTAAATTCTTTCTTGTTTTAGGAAGCATTTCAAAAATGTGTTAGAATCAAAAAGCCAGACAGCGCCTGCAGGACTCGAACTACTAGGAACTAGCAGTTAAATGACAATTACTCAGATTGCAAAGAAACAACTAGACTAAGCTGGCTCGATTGTTGATTCCTGTTCAGAAAATGTAAGGTATGACTCAACAAGAATTGTAAGCTAATAAAGATGTAGAGATTGATGTAAAAGCTGTCCTTTCCATTCTGATATTTATTCTTTTTCTGGTTTTAGGATATATTTTCAAAAATGTATTGCAATAAAAAGCCAGACAGCACCTGCAGGATTTGAACTGCTAAGAATTATCAATTCATAAAAAATTACCCATATTGCAAAGGAACCTGTAGGTTAAATTGACTCAGGCGACATTTAAAAGATATGACTTAGCAAGATTTAGATGACTTACAGACTATGGGATAAATATTCTCAGATGATGTAAGATCTTGATTGAAATATTTTTTAACGTATATTTTTCTTGGTTTTAGGTTTCAGGAAATATTTTCAAAAATATTTTTTGATTAAGCCGAGCCTGTGGGACTTGAACTACTAAGAAATAGCAGTTGAAAAACAATCTGCAAGCTGTGAAGGAATCACTAGGCTAAGCTGGCTCAAGTAGTAATTCCTGTTCAGAAGATATAATAGACAACTAAACAAATTGTGAAAGTAATGGAATAAAGATTCTCAAACGATGTAAGAGACTGAGTGGAATTTTTTTAAAAAAAAAAGTATATTCCAGTCTTTTTCTATGTTTTTACCCCTCCATGTTCAGTTTCAGGAGATATTTTCAAAAATATTTTCTAATCAAATTGAGCTGATGAAAAATATATGTTGAATTTTCTTTCCACATATAAATAACAAGAAAAAAGGCAACAAAACAGTTGGTCCACTAAAGAGAGAAGATGGCAAGGATGTAACAGGCACTAGAGAGAAAGCAGAGCTACTTAACTCATTCTTTGCATCAGTCTCCACGCAACCCCCCTCCCTAAAACCTAACCTACCAACATAACTGTAAAACATAGACTAGAAATAAAAATTAAAATAAGCAAGAGAATGGTAAAAGAATATATATCTGATCTTGATTAATATAAATCACTGGGACCTGATGTATTACTTCCCAGAGTTCTGAAGGAGCTGGCAGATGTTATCTCAGAACCATTATACCAGAGGTGGTATTCAGCCAGTTGACAGGTTCTGGAGAACCGGTAGCGGAAAATTTGAGTAGTTTGGAGAACCAGCAAATACCACTTCTGATTGGCCCCGCCCCCATCTAGTCTCAGCCTCCCGAGTCCCAGCTGATCAGCTGGGTCTTCTTTTGTTGCCCTGCACAGGAGAACGGAGCTGGAAAGCAGGTTAGTGGGGTGGGGAGGGAATGGCATTTTGCAATAACCTTCCCCCAGGAGTGGGGAGGGAATGAGGATTTTACAGTATCCTTCCCCTACCATGCTCACCAAGCCATGCCACACCGACCAAGCCACACCACTCCCACCAAGCCACACCCACAGAACCGGTAGTAAAAAAAAAATTGAATACCACCACTGCATTATACCATATCTTTAAAAAATCCTGGAGCACTAGGGAATTATCAGAGGATTGGAAAAGAGTTGGTAGGGTTTCCATCTTTTTTTTTTTTAAACAGACCTAGGAAACTACAGACCAATCAGCCTAACATCAATACCTGGGAAAATACTGGAAAAAATAATAAAAAAAACAGATCTGTGTGTCGCGTTGAGCGACCGGTCTGTTGTTTCGGCTTTCTGGTTGATTGCTGAATTCCTCTCAGAGAATAACCCTCGCAAGGGTGAGTTAGTCCTCGCAAGGACGAAGTTTAAAGTAACCCTCGCAAGGGTGAGAAAATAGTCCTCGCAAGGGCGAGATAGAGTGGGACCCTCGCAAGGGTGAGGCTAGGCAAGACTCTCACAAGAGTGATTGCCAAGCAAGCACAAGAAATAAAACACACAAAACACAAGAGATCTTAAAATGAGGCAACACTTTGAGCCTGGGGGAGATGGGATTCCCTGGCTGCCCTGGAACAGATGGAAAATGTCCGGGCTTCTCTCTTCTTCTGCTCCTTTCTCCCCCCCCAGGCTTTTTGCTGTCCTCTTTTATTGTGCTAATTCAAGGGAGGAGGTGAGAGAGGAAATTTACAGGAAGGTAAAGAGATACAATGTTAATCTTTTTAGACCAGTCTACCTGACATGAGCCACATACTCTGTAGCTGCTATTTTGTAACTGCTATAGACAGGCATATCTTCTTGGAATACACATCCTTTGTCTGAGGTTAATCTTTTTATTAACTCCCTTCCTGTCAGTGCTTTTTCCTTCTATAATGTTCTGAACTGAATACGTGCCTTTTAGCAAGATTTCTTCCTGTGGAAAAATACAAGACAGAACCAAGATAAAATAGTAACAATTCCTCCTTTTCTTTATTTTTTGCGCTCATGACTCTAGGTAGAGTTCTTTCTCTTCCAGAGTAGTCTCACAAGGTGGCAACAAGCCCTTCGGTTTGTTGATGCCTTGCTGAACCAGCTCATACGAGGAGAAGTCCTCATCCCCCGAGTCGTGGCTGGACCGAGTTAAGAAATTTTCTTTGGGAGAAAAGAAGTTATTAATGTCTATTTCCTCCTCTGACTCTTGGTCAGAGTACCATTCCAACAGCGGTTTTTTGACCAGATCTTTTGATTCAATGCTGGATGTAAGAAAGCTAACTGTTTTTTGAGTATTGTTAATTTCATTGTCAAGTGTTTTCAAACGATCCCTCAATAATTTTAGTAAACGTCCTATTACACATGGACCAATAGTACATGCAAGAAGCAATAACACAAGAGGACCTATTAAGGCTGATAAGAGTGTTGTTAACCAGGGAGAAAAATTAAACATGCTTTGATACCATGACTGTCCTTGTTGTCTTTCATTCTCTCTATCCTTCAACCGTTTACGTAATTCAGCCATGGAATCTTTAACAATTCCTGAATGATCAGCATAAAAACAACATTCTTCTTTTATTGCTACACATCTGTGAACATTTAGAATAGAAACAAAGTTATAACTAGTAGCCAGCACAGGTTTGTTGAAAACAGATCATGTCAAACCAATCTTATTTCATTCTTTGATACCCACTAAATCATTGTGCATGCCAAAACAACTAGAGAGTTATTTCCC